TGCATTCGCGCGGAGAATCCCTAGGATTAACGTTCCGCCATCGCACCAATAAAACGGAGTTACAGAGAGTCATTATGTTAGACAGGCGGTAAGAAATACCGCGCACCTACTTCACCTATTAGACGAAGCCCCTTTTATTTTCATTGCCACCTCGAAAAATTACGCCGTCGACGATGCTATTTTTACGACCCCTCGAAACTATGCTCGCTCGTTTTACCTAAAAAACGCAACGAGAATGCGGAAGCGGCCGATGGAGATTAATGATGCTTTAACTAAATGTAAACCTTGGTGCGTCTTATATTATCCTAAGTAACCCACGTAGAAATTACTTTATAGCTGTATCAGATAAAAAAAATGGCGTATAATAATTACAAAATGTGTGATATTTAGAAAAAAAAAGTTATATTTATAGTGCTATTTGCTGTGGAACGTGAAAATACAATAACATTCATAATAAAAGCCATTTTTAGGCTACATTTGTATGAATAGACCTTAATGACCGCATTGAAATGCAAATCTCGTCCAATATTGCCAGAAAATCTTGTTGAATCAATCGATTGAATCAAAAGGACGGAGAGAAATGTGGCACCCAAAGTCCATTAAACTACGTTCCACAATTACAGGAGAAGCCTGTCACGAATGGCCACTGTTCGGACTAAATGCAATGCGTCGAACATGACGTTGTACTTAGCGATAACGTCTGATTATTAATGGAGATTCATCAAAGCAGCTTATTTCGTACAGCTGACCCTCCGAAGTTAATTTATTACGCGCATAAGCGCAAATCGAATTCATCCATCGCGGAAATATCGCTCGTACGCGGAATTCCAGCAGCATTCTGAGCAGAATCTGCTGTACGCGTGCACTACATGCAAGACCTACATTTTTAACGGGTTAATAAATGAAACTAATAAATAATAACACGTATTGCGAAACTGCTGCTATCAATAATAAAAATTTAAAAATATTCTTTTGTTCTATTTAAAAATTTAAAATAAAAATATTTTTGTTTTTTATTGTTATCCTTTATAACTTATGTATTATTATCTTGTATTTGTACATCTGCAATTTATACGGCTTATACGACTTATATCCACAGATCACGGTGTTAAGTATTTTAATTATTAAAATAAAATGGAAGGAGCCCCGAATAATATTAATATTAATAAATTGTCCGTGTCCAAGTATTCGAATGAGGCGGTCTGACATTCGGCGCTAAGAATTTAATTACACGAAAAGACACAGAGAGAAGGAGATGTCTGCAAGACGTATCTGCCTTGGTGCGGCGTTATCCGCTCTTGAATATGCAAACACTACTCCGTACGACGCTTAACACGCGAACAACTTCCCTACGGTCGATCGCACCTGGGATACGAACGGTACCGTGCCTGCATCGGGTGTACCCGAGTGCATTTAGTATGCGTTTTGTGATAGAATAGAATTTATACATATATTCGGTGACGCAGTTTCTTTATATTGCACCATTTTGCTACTCTGCATTTCAAAAATTTACTGAAATTTTATAATAAATATATATTTGAGATGTATGAGATATTTCATAACATTTAATTAATTAGCAGCTTTGAAAATTAATTATATATAAATTCATTTGTAGGATTACTATATACATTTCGTGATAGCGTTCTGATTTCGCTGAAATTTATATCTATTATACATCTTGGAAGGAACCAATTCCATTTTACTACATGCTCGATAATGAGGCGAATGTTCTATGTGAGAATATGGAACGTTCGTTCTTTTACCCACGAATCGCAGAATTAATTGTTCTTGTTCCAATATATGGAGATAGGAAATTATTATTCAAATTAAGGGCTCATGCTGAATGTGTCTACAATGCAGTAGAAGGACAAGAAAGTGGATGGAACATATGGTGATCTAAACGCATTGCTTACACGAATTAGCATTTGAATAGACACCTTAAGCATGATTACATATAAAAAAATCGACTGCTGCCTAAACAAAATTTTTAGAGGACTGCCTTCATTATTGTTACTTTAACACTTAATAGCAGATATTTAAAAAATAAAATCTCAAGATGTTTAGAAATTAAATTCTAAAAAATCTCAATTTTATTCCAGAACATTCTAGAAAATTAAATTCTATGAAATTAAAAAGGTCTATACTTGTAAAAATAAAAACAAAATGTGACAGAACTAATTTGAATTTAAATATGCTGTTAATATCTTGTGATATTCCAGTTATGAAAAATATTTTCTCCAAATTATCAAATATGGACCTGTCATCAAAATTAACGTTGATTCTAGTGGAAATCTTGTATCCAGCGGTGTGCGTCCGAAAGATACTTGATGAGAAAGGGTGGTGTCGAGGAACTTGCGTGGGACGAGAGGCGGATTGTAAAAGTGCTCGTAATCGTTTCGTCTGTATCAGACTGCACACGCGATCCACGGATTAAAATTAACAGCCGCTCGGCGTATATTGATTGCACGCTCACCTTGACACCGAAGTTCGTTCCTCCGTCGACGACGTTGGCCGCACGCGAAGGTTCCGGGGGAGAAAGAGAATCTATATAACACCTCCCTTCTTCGACATTGAACCTCCCCACGTAAATACTGAAATTAGACGCTACCGTCCAATGGAGAATCGGATCGTTGTTTCAGCATTTAACACGATCTCGTAGGAAGGCACTTTGCAAAGATTAAGCCGAAAGCCCGAGCTGACTACGATCTAGACATTCGAATTGTGATAATTCTCTAGTAATCCCTACAGGTAATCCTCTTAATTAACCTTAACTTGGTGAAAGTAAGTAGATAGGATTAAAATTATATTACACCAAAAAATGAGGAGGAAATGTAATGAAACTTATATAATTCTTTGAAAAAATTCAAAATTATATATTTTTATAATATAATTTTTTGGAATGTGTAATTTATTGGGTTGATCAGAAAGTTCCTTCAAATTTTTCAATACAAATTAAAAGCAAAATCCAAAGAAACCTTCTGACCAACTCAATATAAAATAATGAAATTAATAAAATATTATACTTAAGTGCGATTTATACATTAATTAATGCAATTTATATAAGTTTAGGAACATCAAGTGGTGTAAGAATATGATATCAGATAGAGAATTTTATAACCTTATAGAATCTTCTCGATATAAGGCGACTCTGTATAAATGTACAAGCTGTCCCATCTTTTAAATCCCTCGACAGTCGCACTTAGGGGAGCAATATCATCATTCCGCGAGGACGACGGACTTTCCTAGACAGCTAGACCTATCGAATCGATACAGACTCTATCGTCGAGTGGGTAGACTATCAACGAATATCTATTCCAGTCGAAATTGGAAATGCTCGCCGAATAAGAAGAAATAAAACTATAAGAAACAGAATCAGAACTAGAACTTGATAGTTTCTTGCATAGATATTGGCAAAATATTTTTCTATGATTATTATCGTTGAAACAATACATGTTTTCAATATTTGTTTTTATAATTTTTATGTAGATATTTTGCAAAGTAAAAATATACAATATATTCTTATTTTGTATACTAGCTATAGTTGCGCTCTTATTAAAGTAGACATCGCGTCTGTTTACATTTATATATCTTTCTGAAATTTATAAGTCTCAAGATTGAACCTACATCACTTCTGAAACAAACGACTTCCATCAGACTATAATATTTTTCTGTATCTGGGATCTGAAATTGCGCGCGGTGGAAAGGCTTTTTCCTGTCGCGCCGCTTATCGCTCCGTAATTTATAACATATGACAAGGAAAAGTCGCCTTTCGCGACATAATTTATTCGTCGAACGTGGCACCGACGATCTCAAGAGTGCGTTTCAGGTAAGCTCAAACGTGGAAAGCGTCGGTCGGTCGGCTTCGACATGTATCGGATCGTAAGCTTCGAACCAGACGAACTTTAGATCGTCTCGCGGCATATTTTATTCAGCGGAGTGCATTTTTGCGGCTGAGCACGTTCGGAAACGCAAAACTGCATGCACATACCAGAGTCCTTATCCTAGGAAAGCTTGCAGCAGGAATCTTTGCGGTATTACGAATAAGAGAAGATACCTGGTCAGATCTCTTTCTCCTTCCAGGAAATTGGTTTCGTAATATTTCAGCCGACGAGGATGCGAAAAACTGTTGCTTGGATATTCGCCTTTCGGCAAAAATGCAAATTTTCTTGCGGCTATAAAATATGCATCAGAGATAGACTTCTCTACGAAATAATTTATTCCTCCCGCGCATAAAACGCGGCGAAATTGGAGATTTGGATTTTGATAGACAATGGCTTTCGTTTATTTAAACATTAAGCAAGATTTCGCGGCACTATTGGATTTCCATTTAGCTGCGCATTTGATTTTCACGTATTTTCTTGCACTTGTTCAATTCAAAATTAAGCGCATTCGATTGCGCACGCTGGTAAGTCTTGCAAATTACTTTATAACGATGCCGTTTGAGGAAAGGAATATTCTTTGAAATCACCATTTATTCGGTAACGAAAAAAAGTGTTAGGCGTTTTATTTCGAAGAAATGCGTAGTCAGTAAAAATTGAATCGCGTCGTTATCACACTAGATAGTAATTTAATAGCAGACATCACTGGTATTTTTATTTTCTCGGCTGTTGCCGAGAATGCACCTGTCAATTTTTAACGCTGGCAAACAGCCGCGAGGCGTGAAACGTGACGTTTCCATATACCAAGTAACTGCGACACGTGCACGCGAAATCGCCAGCAAAATCGACGAAACTGGAATTACTACACCACTGTATGTATGTGTGTTCCATTACTGCTCCACTCGCAGCTTCCCGAAATTCGGCCGCGCCCTCCCACGCTTCCGGCGAGCCATTGAGTTCGTTACGCGGAGGATTTACGAGCGAGGAACCATTGTTCTTGAGCGCGACAACTTTCGAGAACGATATCCGGATTATCAGCCTAAGGCGCAATCCAAAAATCCTTTCCAAAGAGGTCATCGATAAGAACCTAACAAATGTACTTCTTTTTTTTTTTTGTTTTAGAACTCTACTTCCCGCAATCGAATTTTACGCTGAGACTTCCTTATTTGGCACGAGACAGAGCGTTCAGTCCAATGATCAAATTAATTGGCCTTAGAACCCTTCGAAACGATTCTTCCACACCGGAAAATGTGAGGTACGAGATCTTCCCGTCGCAGGAGAAGTTCGTAATTTATCAGAAGAACACCTCGAACCTTTTGCTACGGAGTCTTCCAAAAAACGGTAGGTGCATTGTGTCTATTTGCTGTTTTCCAAGAGAATTTCATTTAAATGTAATATTGCAAAATGAGATGATATATCGCTTTGTCTAGAAGAATTTTAACTTTTATGTTAAGGTGCTCTCGATACTATAGTCGTCAAGGCGACCGAGAAGAATTTCGGCAAAGCGGTGCTCGAGATAAAAGTGCGACCGGTACCGGTGAAAACTATTAATTGCACGGATTACGTACAGGTAAATTGCCACGATAAATCTCAACTTCCTTCTGCACGAAGCAATCCTTTTAGCCCATTAATTAGCCGCAGCCATCGTTTAGAATTCATTATCGCGCATAAATAATAAAAACCAATCCAGATAATGAGAGGATTGCATAATATTGTATTAACGCATTGGTTTGTAACAATCGATAAACGTTCAAATATTACGAAAAGTTGTAGAAATATATTCGATTTGTTTCTTTTGTTTACTCTGTGATATAAACAGATCCGATTGTTAATATATCGAGACATGTCAGAGGCGTCGGTCCACAAGGTTTCTAGTGTTACAGGACATGTGCTTCTGGAACACATCGAGGTACAGGATTTACGAGAATCAACCAGTTACTATGATTGGCACGTTCGGCCCGGAGGCGTATAGCTCTCTGTGTCCCGAATTTCGCGTCGCCTATGAATTATTGAATGGCAAGTATCTTGACACCTCAATCTTTTTAATTTGAATACAATTTTTTTCTCATCCACATAAATTTCAGAAATTTTACGCTTTGTTTTCTTATCAAGATTTGTAATAATTTAATATTTATTAATTATAATAATAATTTAAATTTGAAATCTTTATTTTATGTAAACATTTTTCAAAAATTTCTGAAATATTCAGCGTAATGTAAAATTAATTCGTGACAGATATTAATAACTCATAATTCTCTTAGCGTTTAAAATTTTTATCTTTCCTAATTGAAGTAGGTTCGATGTGTGTATCGCGATAATGCTCCGGTGATTTTCATCGAATCTCACTCCCTTTGTCAAACTCCTATTTGCCAGAATAAATCCCTCGTCAAGGATCGAGCATTTTTCACTGACAAAGCCGGGAAAGCTGCGAAACGGTGATTGATTGGGGTTTATTCAATATAAAATACAAATTCTGCTGCCGCACGAGGCAGCGAGCAATGCGAAAGCTGCGCAACCTGTTATCATCATTAAAATTCGCTGAAGACATCGCTACTATCGCTACTGTGACATAATACGTAGCGATGGAAACTTGCAGCCTTTTGTATGCGACGAACCATATATCAAATCTCTAAATCTCAGCGAAGGTTTAAACTTTATTTTTCCGCCGCTGAATATAATAGAAATTACCGGGAAAACGTTACAAGCTCCATATTTCAAATGTGGCGTTTTTGGAGAAAGCACAATTTAACAATAGTGGAATTAAATTTTTATATAAAAAATACTAAATAAGACATTAATTTACAATAAAATATGAACACAGATTACTTACAGATACATTAATATAATATTATTAATGATAAGATTGGTAGCAATAATAAAATGTTACAGTACAAATAATAATTTATATCAAAATATTACTTTGTTTTATATTAGATATGTATTGTTATCTATTATTATGTATATTAGCGTTTTGACAACGCTTTTTCATTAGATTCACATCTGATAAATTTGGCGCCTGCACTATTGTTCCCGAAATCCTTTCGATTATGTTAATTTATGCTAATGATATACATTCAGCCATTATGTGTCACTTTTGGATAACGCGATCGCTATAACGCATACTGACCACAAAATTGCTATAGAAATAACAAGAGGAGATTTATTTTCGTCTTTCAGGAAGCGAGTACTTTCACATAGTTGACGGAAAACTATTCGCGAACGCATCTTTAGATCGAGATATAATCGGCCCTCCCAAAGGACCTGGACCTCGCACGAAGATCCAGGTGACGTGTATCGTTTGGGATGAAAAGACTGGACTGCAGCACACGCATACGAACATTCTCAGCATCGATATACTGGATGAGGACGATAATCCTCCCTTAGTGCAAGGCAACACTTCCATCGTTGTAAAGTTTCAAGGCTTCAAGGAGGTAATTTTACGATATCAAGAAGTAAAATCGAGCCAACGGTGCAAATTAATGCTTGTTACAGCCATTTTAGTAGCTCGGGAGCAATTAACTTCCTAGTATTAAGAAAGTCACAAATTTATTGTCCGAATATAAGCACATCATTGATCTCTATCGAAAGTCTATCCGGTGTCTGCAGCCTAGTTCTGGCTTATCTTCGTGATAATATTCGCTTACTTGCTATTTCTCTAAAAAAAAATGAAATTATTATTATATATAGAATAAAAAGTGAGAATATAGAAATAAAGAGACACATTTAAATTACGTTTTTACAAAAATGATAAGTTAGAAATAAAGAGACACATTTAAATTACATTTTTACAAAAATGAAAAAAATATCTTTAAAAACAAAAATTATCCAACAAGAATTATTCAAAGAAAAATATTTTTACATTTAAAAATTTATTACATTTGTGCCACGATATTTCGACAAATGATTTTAATTGTTTTTTGCCATCTAGCGTCTCTGGTTTCCCGAAATTCTATTTGGGTAAATTTTAGTGTTTCTCCGCGAATGAATTTCGTTTTTCAACCGCGGTGACGGAAACGAGACTTAATCAAGCTCTCATTGTTCGCGTAATTACCGCGGACAACGCGCGTAATAAAAAAGAGACCTCTAGTGTAGCGAGCATCACAAAAGATACGTGAGAATGATGAAGTGTACGAACGACAAGAGGAACAGCTTCTGGGATTGATTCTGATTAAACCCCGCAGGGATGTCCCACCCTTCAACACGTCAAACCACCTTTTTCTTTCACACTTTTCAGTCTTCGGCAAACATCACTTTTTTCTACTTTTTTTCCAGCTGTTACCTTTCATCGCTCATTCCCTCGATCCCGTGAAAAACGACTGTTACGCTCAAGATTTCGAAACATTGAAGTTCTTACAAACGTAGTTGGAAACTTTAATGGGCGAAATTCAATCGGTTAATCGAAATCTCACGTCTCTTCGGCTAAGTGCAACGAAAAAAAAGTTAAAGCTGTTATTGTAATCTCATGTTGTTAAAGACAGCGAAAAATGATTGCATTAAACATGTTCTTCTTCGCGTGCTTTTCCAAGTATATTGTGAAAGTCCAATAATGTGAAAAATAAAAATGAATAGTAACAGATATTAATATATACTATAATAAAAAAAAAAAAACAAATATTATGAGATAGATATTAAAAGCATAAAAAAAACAATGATATTAATTATAATATAGTGTAATATTTATTCATCTCAACAAGGCATGTAGAGATTAGATAGAATAAACGTTTTTTTCTAATCAATTGCAGGGAGACCGATTAGTGGATGGGAAAGATATCGTTTTGAAGGATGCGGATGTGGTGACCAGCAACCAATACAACGTTCGCTTGCTCGGCGATACTCACAAGGCGTTGAACATGCATTACGAGATTATGCCAATTGAGCATGCTATGTACCCGAATCAGGCGCCTTCCACCGCCATTCTTCCCGGTAAGTATATATCCGTCATGGCTTTCATTCCGTATTTCATTTCATTTGATCGATATCCGTTTGTAATCGTAAATTCCTCCCACGTTTTCCAGTAATCTACGGACGGAAAACGCTGCTACCGGAATCGCCATACCGCGTGGTCCTTCAGATTACAGATGAGTCGCTCCGCGAAGGATACGGCCCGAATTCGGTGAGTCAATATCGATTCTACGTCGTCGACACTCATTGTCAAACTACTTGAAGTATTCGCTCCATTTGCAGCGCTGTCAAAAGGCACCGGCCAAGTTAAGGGTCGATCTCGAGTGAGATAATACTAATACAGTGAGAGCAAAGTTTCTTAACTTCCCCAAGCACTTTAGGGATCGGAGTATGCCAAGTACTTTGTCTCTAATTTTTTTTTATTGCATATAGTTCAGTGTTTGACGTTGACTAGCTTTTTATTTCCATATTAAAGTTTAAGAGTCAGAATTAAATTTTTATCAATAATAGTTCAAAAGCTCAAAATTATTTTAAAAAATAATATTTACGATTTGATAAAACACCGCGATTTGTTGAAAATTGATTAATCGATCTATTGGAGAAACAAATCAGTTCTCTTCGTAATGCACTGGCCATTCATCGAAATGAACAAAAAGCGCAGCATGCCGGGAATCTGTTGTCCGATTAAAAAACTTCGCCCTGTGCGCGATAAATTTCGCAATATTGGCAGAAGCTCTCCGATATCTCACCGCCGTATGTCATTTACGAACGGCGCGAGTAAAACTGGAGCGAAAGTGCGCCATGTTGATCTCATAACTCGTGCTTTCCTGATCTAATATATGAAAAAAACAAGACGCCGACTATATCACTGAAGATTCGTTCTAATCTTTTCCCCTCTGAAGTCTACGGTCATTTACAGAGAGTGGTAGTTTATCAAATATTTTATCCAATATTCATTTATTCATTTACACAGCAAATACGGATCTCTTCGATAAATACAATTGCCAAATCTGAAATTAATTGCTATCGCGAGATAGCAAGTCAGCTTTGAGAGAGAGAGATAAATCTATATGACAATATAATCAATTAACTGCTTTCATAAATGAAAAGGCCTCTTATTCAGGTAAAAACGCTTATCAATAATCCGCTGCTTTCCACTTATTCTGAAATGGAATTCAATGTATTCCGATGCATTCTAAAAGCTTCATATTTCGCTGAATGCAAGCGTTGCCTTAAATGCAAATATCCATTCGTTTATGTCGGGCCCACTTCCCGTCAGCGTGGAGCAACATCGAGTCGGACTTGTATCGAGGAAGTTGAAAGATAAGAGACTCATTATTCGCCATTAGTCGCTTTGCGTCCGTAATTCTCGCTTCGCGGTAGAGTCGAAGGTCATTAAACAATTAGGTGGTGAAATCTCGTCTTGTTAGAGGTTCCTTGGGTGCGGCATTGATTTCACGGAGGCGGCTAATCGCGGATTAAATACCGCATCTGCCACTTGAAAATGGCGCGTGGGTGGAGGTCACTTATTGCCGAGCTTCGTGTCGAATAATGCAATTGTCGTTAACACAGAATAAACGTTGATTTTTACGAAAGGAAGAATAATTCTTTCGGCAAATTTCCATACCCAGAAGTAATTCTCACTCGCACAATCGAGAAAACTTGATCGAATGTGAGAATCGCAAAGGAAGTTTGACAATTGCGAAACAAAGCGTAATACGCATGAATAAACACATTATTCCGCGTACACATCGCAGAATGCAATTCCCAAATATTTTGCGCGCAGCTTTCACGATAGGAATGTTTAATCACACTAGGAAATTTATATCCAATTCATACAGGGTGTGTTATAATTATCAATGCAGAGAAATTTAAATCTTTGATTTTTCAAAGCTGTACAATGCAACCAATTTATAATTTCAATATCAAATTATGAAAAATTGTCTACCAAATTGATGTTAAATATTAAAGCTGCATTCAATTTTTATTACAATCGACAGATTTATCGAGAAATCTTTTGTAATCTATCTAATGTGATCGCCGAACACCCTATAGATGCGCTGTTTGGCGAAATTAAATGCAGCCTGTATTATGTACTACAATGCGGAATGTATGTCACTCTGAATATGTAAGCGGAAAGAAGATAATGATCGTCCGTGAACACGATAATAATCGGGTGGCATTCGTTCTAATTCGAGTCGTGCTCATCCTGCACTTTTAATGGATACCCTATATCATCCGCGCCGGGCGCGACTAGGTGCTTAAATTGAAACCACGCGAGGAAATAAATCTTGACGCCGATACCCAGCGACCTCAGCGACCCATTCTTGATATATATCCTGCGTCCCTTTAACCAAGACGCGTCTTAGGTATCCTCCGGTCCTCCTGGGCAATCTCGCCTTTCCTCGCCCGCGCGAACGCGACGCTTTACAACTCTCTTAGTTATAAATATTAATCTATAGCCATAAAGATATAATATATCCTTGTAAACTATCTTCATTAAGAATGTTAGGAGCTATTCGATTCTACGCTCTTGAATTACCTTTCCTTCCATTTTTATTTAAAAGTGACGACGTTTTGTAAATTCATTGTTGCAATTCTTGAACATTCTGCATTGGCGCAGAATAAACTGTGGATTTTAAGTAACTCTATAAATAAAAGCTATTTGGATTTAAATGTGATCGAAGAGACCTTGGTCGACCTATCCATCTTTCACCAAATTTATAGTTAATGTGTTCCCAAAGTAAAATTTGTTGACAAGATTCTTTCGCATGTATTCCATTTCCTAAGTCAATTTTCGAAGTCTCACGGATAATTCATGCTAAACTAAAAGTAGCTGTACTTTAAAAATTGATAATTTTTAGATCTATATTTATTAGAATTTTTTGTCAATTTTTTTGAAGTGTAGAATATAGATTTTATGACAAGATTTTGCTAATATTTTAGGAATATTTAAAAATCACGAATATAATTTAACGTGTAAAAAGATTTTTATAAAGCACAGAGTTGCAGCAAAATGTATGTGTGTGTAGTATAATCAAGTTATAAACTAAGATAAGAATTTATTCGCTCTAAGATTCGAACTAAGATAAGAATTTATTCGCTCTGCACGCTGTTTAAGAAAAGATTGGTACATCATTTAAGTACCAAGGACTTTTCTCGCTATTACCGTTCATGGGTGTACCAAGAATGGACGATAAATTCTAATAAAGAGAGCGTCACGTTCCAATTGCACTCATGGCAGTATTTAATATCGATCTTTCGTGGAAACATATCGCTAAGTTTTTTTCAAGATCCTTCCTCACAGCAAATCTTTCAAGTTTCTTTTTACGTAACGATTCATTACGCTCTTTTAAAACATGGCACAAAATTCCTTAACTACTTCTAAAACTTATACAACTCATAAGAAAATACTTCGATAAAACGTAATATTAAAAAAATAATAAATAACATAAAAAGAAAGATTATACTAATTATAAAATTATTTTAACAAAATTATTGATAGGAAGAAAAAACAAACTATTTCTTCAAAACGATATATTCTCGTTTCTTTTGAATTTTTGATAAATCATAATCCTTCTTGTACCATTAATCATTATATAAGCCTCTGTTACAAGGAAATCTTTCAATTATGGAGCCTTTTCAATTTATTTTAAAGATGACATTAAAAGAGATCAATTTGGAATAATAGCTTTATATAATAAGAAATAAGAAGACTTTGTGCTGACGGATAAAATAATGAATAATAATTTAGTTCGAAATGAAATTAATACTATTTATTATTAAGAAAAATAATTATGTGTCTTCTTTTATATTTAGATAAACATCAGCCTAACTTTCAACGGTCCGGTAGATCAAACTCCAATTACAACGTCGCCGTCAATTGCCACACGCCGGGCGTCGTTCTCATATCCGAAGAGTGTGAAGATCGCTCGGATTTCACCTAAATATCTTCGCGTGGCAAAACCCTCCTCGAAGCCTCATCCCTCGGTAACATTTACCCTGCATAATTCGAGCGCCTTTAACGTTACCCGACAGGACGGCATCGTTTACGTATCCGACGAAACTAAACTGCGATCCGAGCGCGACGTCATTCAGTAAGTTCACTTGTCTTTCATAAATAGCCCGACATCGCGCAAAAGTTAATTATTTTCAGTTATCAGACAATCATCTCTAATTGTTCCACAAACGTTTTTCAAAATATATTCTTCGGGAAGCATAAATAAAATTAAATATCCTCGGTTAGTTAATTTTATATATACATGCATAAAAACTACAATGATTATATATTCACATGTTACTATTATAAGAGAACCAGATATGACAAACTGACCTAAATGTCAAACTTATTTCGATCGATATTCTTCAGAGCAAAGTAAATATTTAAATACCTGATACGAATATGGCCTGATATAAACATGTACACAAACATCGTATTTATTATTTCTCAAGTGTTCTAAAAACATGTTTGTCGAATATTTAGTATTTTCAATGAATATACATAGAGCAATTAATTTTTAAACTCGGATGTTTTATGTTGTATTTAAGTTTGCATTTAATTTTCTTTCAATTTAATCTTAATTTTAATAGAAATATTAATGTCTACCCTCTCGGAATTTTTTAATCGATTTAATGAACATCGTGAAATTATAAGCGAAGATTCTTATTGACATAAGAAGATGCCTGTTTCTATCATGCGAAAATGCTAGCTCGATGAGTATCGACACTTCGCCGGTTCAGGGCGAATTTTCTTGTCACACAAACATGACACAATATCGGCTTGTTCACCAGACTGAAATTAGAATGGACCGGAGCGGATAGCAATATGACGGTGCAAGTAAATCTGATCGAAGTGCCGTCGTCGAAGATCGATATGTGCGGGCAATCTATTCAGGAGGAGAAGCATTCATGCGCGAACGCGGAATCGCGGGAAGATTGCGAGAAGTCCTGTGGAACTGGCAGCGGAGTCCTCAGGTACGTTTCACTTATTTATTTCACAATGAAGTTCTTCCTCACGAGAGATCCTTGAACAGCTACAGTTTTCTTCGCGGATACTATAGAATTCTATCGGAATCTGTGAGATCAATATTTCTTAAATAATCAATGTGACTGTTTTAATCTTTCACTTATAAATATGATATAGTTTTAAAATAATCGATACTAGAATCGACATTAGGCTAACGATTATAGACAGAGCAAAGCAATAATTGAGTTATGCAGTTTACGTGTTAATTCATGAATTGCAATTTAGATTTAATCGTTTGCCATCCAAAAAAACAAGAAAAAATATCGCATAATTCTCTTTTCATTTTTCAAGAGGAATATTTCATCTAATTTCCAAGTGGTGTAAATTCAATACTGATGAGATTACACCAAAAGCGCATTCTGCAGTGTGCTTTCTACCTAACAAACAAACGTTGCGTGTCTTATAATTACGCCGCTGGGAATGGCGCAAAATCCCATTTCATTTCCGTGTGTCAAGAATTTTTAGAAGGCTCTTACCTGAGCCTTTACTTCCTGAAAAACATAAAACAGACAGCTAAATCGCTCGGAAAATGCAAGAACATTTACGAACATTTGTACTATGTACAGTTTAATAGATTTTAAACTTGTATATAAAACTTACAAGGAAATTATTATTTAAAAAAAAATGTATTTACTTAGAAACGATTCTGCGATAAAGTAAATCTCGATACCGAGTACTGGGTTTACACTATCATGCGCCTCGGAATTGGCGATTTTCTACAATGAAATAAAAGAAGAGATCGTATCATTATTTTCCTTCTCTTTCCCAGAAAAGCGTCATGTCGCCATGAGACTCAATTTTATCGTAATGACTATTTCGGACGGCACGTCCGAGTTTATGGCTTTTCCATTAGAGTTCATCGATTCGTTTTTCCTGTTCCTTCCGATAACAATCGTTTTCTGACGTGATAAGGTAAAAGGCAGTAATTGACAGTTTATCGTTTTTTTTTTTCTTTTTTTTTCCACTTTTTCCTTTTGCTTTATTATAATAGAAAATAACGGTTGCAGGCTTTTTCATATTTTATTCCGTATCTCTTGAAGATACCAATGTACGTAATATTTCAATAATGCGCAGAATAACTTATTAAAATTGTCTACAAGAGACAATCTCTCGCCATCTAACTTATCATAATACAATTTTTTGTCATTTCTCTCTTTTCTCTTCTTTTCCTTCCTCGAAATTTTACTATATTATTAATCCAAACATTTATATT